ACAATAACATCGTGCGGAAAAGCGTACCTTAGTCTTCGTTATCTCAGCTACTTTTTAAGATAGGAAAAAAATAAAAACACCATTTTTCTTGAAATTTTCCTTAGTTTTGTAACAAATACCTAACAAAAAAACGTTGAACTTGTCTATTGAAGCACCGACTTCAATAGTTATTAAATTATATAAATTAAAGACATGATATAAACAAGTTTAGTGTGAAAATTATTTCATTCTTTTTAATTTTATATACCGTGTTCTATACCGAGGTTTTGTGGTCTACCAAATCTGATGTATTGATGGGGGCAATTCTGTACGTGTTCATAAACGGCAGACTTCCCTGAGCGTCGATTCTTCACATCAGATAATATGTGTTCTTTTACGCAGGTTAATGTTTAAGGAGACGTATTTACGCTACAAGGTTATTATTATATTAAACCAGGGTTTCACTTCTAGTATTTTCTGCTAGTACCAGAGCGCTTTATTTTTTAAGTAGTATACTTGTAAGTATGAAAGTATGTGTAAAGTCAGATGTGAGAAGAACTTGAAATACCAAAAATAAAAATACTTGCATAGGAAAACAATCCATACCGTTATATGAGTAGAGAACAAAATCATATTCGCGATTAAAAATACATTCAACTTCCAAGTATTTGTGCTCCATAATCGAATCGTTTCCTATGCAAGTATTTTTTAACTCTGGACGCCGAGGAAACGTCACGAGCAGCGCGGGGTTTGAAGCGTTGGTGGAAGAGACGTACAAGATTGTGGCACAACACGAATTAGACTGAATACTACCGTAAAAATTTAAAGTATTTTAAAATCTGGTTTTCGACCCTGATATTTTTAGCAATCAATGAGGGCTATTAATCTTACGCTCACGAGCAGTCGTTAGGTGGGACGAAGGTGAACTTATTTGTTGTGCTATTTGTGATGATGACAATACGTGACCATCTGGTCACATAATGTCAGCATCTTTAAAAGTTGCGATTTTACGTGGTAGAGCCATGCTGCAGCTATATTACTAGTATAGTTGTAGCACGAATGGGTTGGCTCGATCGAAAAAGGACCAAGTTCTCACAGAATACCAGAGTAGAGAACCGAAAACCCTATTTACTTGAAAAGAGGCATTCAATCTTAGTCCTCACGGGTGACAACGCATTTGCATTTTGATTCATGATCGAGGATTGTTGTAGATGTCTAAAGGCTGCAGGAACTACTTACCATCAGGTGGACTGCGGCTCGTTTATCATCCTTATCCTATAAAAAAATCCATTGAAGTAGTATAATATATATATAAAAAAATCTTCAGTGCTGTATTCTTTAATTTTTTACACTTTTTTTTACCCTTCGTGGCCATTGCATTATACTTAGTGAGTGCCAGAGCATACAAATGCTAAATACCTTATCTATATCAGATTTACATTTATCAGTATTTTTATATATGTATTAAGCTATAGTTCTCGCACCTGGTTGTACTAATCGCACCAAGTTAGTGGGCGCCCGTTGTTCACCTTCAGGTTGTTGAACTATTCCAGCAGATTGGTCTGATATTGGTGATTGCTGGGTAGTCTGGGATGTTATCACTGGAGCTGGAAAATCGTTTCTTCTAACTAATCTTACGAATGGATGTTTACGTTTAATATGTTTTGTAAGGTTATACAGAACTTTTTAAACTCAGTTGTATTTTACAAATATTACACTCGGTCATTTGTTGCCCTTTGACCGTAAAATGATCTCAAGCAACACTATTGACTCTAGGAGCCATTTTTTAAACAATAAACGCGTGAGTGTTTCTAGTTAGTTTTTGAATAAACACTTTAATCTATCGCGTACAAAACCAATACATAAAATAATCAAAATATGTCTCCTTTGTTGACACCCCCAAGAATAATTCTTTTTTAAATTATACAACTAGTACTAAACAATTATACAACTACAAATTTTAAAAAAGTATTATAATTATTCTCGTTACTAAATTACGAGGATTAAGATTATACGAGATACAAATTAAGATAATTTACTTCAAAAGCTCCCTTCCGCCATTATCCTACTTTCTTTACTCGATATGTAGTACTACAAAGTAGGTACGTGTAGATACGTGTGATAGGCGCGTTTATGGAATAATTTCATATTTTCTAAAATTTGTTTTAAATGATTTTTATCTTAAAGTTGTCAATTTATTTGAAAAACTCTAGAATGGGAACATTTACCTATTGATTTTGTATCTCTCTATGGATTTTAAGTTGCTACGGTTTTTTTTCTATTGCTATAATTCTATAATAGGTTGATGCAGTATAAAGTAGCTCATAATGACGGAAGGGAGAATTTGAAGTAGATTATTTTCATATATTATTTCTCATATAATCTTAATAGTAACGAGACTAATTATAATATTTTTTAGAATATTGTTTGTATAATTCTTATAAATAAACATTAAAAAAAGAATAGTTCTGAAAAACAAAAAATAAAAAGTTGGTGAAGTTTACTCCATAAGAACGATTATAAAATATATAGATTAGTAAATGTGAGTAAATAAACGCATTTTTATATTACTGAAAGCAAGCATGATACATTTACTTATATTAATTATATAACTTATATTCATCAAAATATATTACATAGTCATGGAAACGTAAATTGTTTACGTAACGTGGTCATGGAAACATGAATACAGAGTCCACCGAGATCATATTCGCATGAGTCCATAGCGTACTATAAACAGACAATCGTCTGCCTTGTACTCTTGTACTAGTATTTGGTTGAAGTCCTGAGTGCCGACTAGTCTCGAGTCTCGAGTATTGATAGACAAAGATAGAAAGACTGCGGAATAGTGTAGTTAAACAAGGACAAAATATATTCTTACACAACACGAGTGCGCGTCACGTTACTTTTATGTGCATTGAAATATGGTTCAATATCAAATTACTGACAAACGAATGATTCATAAATAGGCACAGTAAATACGGCAATAAAATACGAGTACGACTTGTAGGCACAGTGAGACTATAGATGGATCGAGTATTTTAAAAGTTGGAATAGGTGCAACCTAGTCTCGTTAAATACTTAGTCCCTAGATCTGTTCTAGTATATACGCTTCATCTCTAATAGTTATGGAGTGTAAAGGTAAGGAGTGCAGACTGTGTGTTAAAATGTGTCCGTAGAAAACCGTTAAATACGGGCGGCACCACTATAGCTACGGGGCAGATTTCAAAGAACTCCTCGAAATATATTAGTGGGATAGACGACTTTTTCGAGGTTATATTTACTAAATAAAATTATTTTAGATTTTAGAGCTACTGAGCAGTTTAGCAGCACACTTCACACCATGAAGGTTAGAGAACAGGAGAACGATCGCCGTAGAAAATAGTGTCCAGAAACATGGACACCATAAGTGAGGCGCTGCGATCGCTCGAGGTTCGGTCAATAAAAGTCATTTTGAGTCTATTTTTCCGATCAGATGCTAAACCACTTGCACATCCACGCACAATAAAATTTTTCTCAATTTTTTAATGTTTCTTTTTGTCAAAAATTACAAAATTACGGAGCATGAAAATTGTCTCATCAAAAATGAAATGAAAATTTTTACATTATTCAACTAACTTCATCTACTTGTACTCAAAACAGCTAACTTCGCAGTTACTACTCACCGACGTCAGCGCCGCTATACATTCTACAATTTTCAAGGACAGGCGGGCTATGCTTTAGTATAATAATACGTATAATTATAGTGATCGTTCTCCTGTTCTCTAACCTTCATGCTTCACACCGTCGACAACTGATAAGTTCCTTTCATACCCTGTAGCTACTACAGCACTGTTGTGGAGAGTTTTTGAACTGTTATTTATTGCTTACAGGTGTACGCTTTTTCAACTCTTCTCCTATGAAAGATTGTTCTCCTTACCTCTACACTCCATAGTAACTCTTATTAGTTTGTGAAGGTTTGTGGTAATAGTGTACTGTGGTAGGGATGTAGAAAGTGCCAAGCAGTATCGATATATCGAATCGATATATAAAAAAAAATATTGATATAAATTTAGATACATCTAGAAAAAAAAGAAATATCGGTGAAATTATCTAAAAAAAAATTGTATTTTATAAATTGCTTATGTTTTTTTTACCAGTTTATTTCAATAAATCTGTCAGTATTATTATTAATATAGAATAATATAAAATTACCAAACTAAAAACCTCGTTTCTGATAATTAATTGACGAACGAAACAGAATATAATACACTTAAATACAAACATACATAAACACTCACGCCTGTCACCCTGAGGCGTAGGCATAGACTACAGAATTCCATTTGGCACGATCCTGACACACCTCTCTCGCTTCCTCCACATTCATATACCTACGCATATATGCTCGTCGGTTAAGGGTACTCCTAATTTGACCATTTTCAATATATTTATCGCCAATTTGGTCGATAAAATTTCGCCTAGGACGTCCCTTTCCGACTCTTCTATTCCTTAAAGGCATTTACACATAATACGGATAAGTATTATTTAATACTTATCAAAAAAAACTCTAAATTTGGTATACTCTGCTGAAAGTCAACTTCTGCTATTGTGTACACTAAAACTAACAACTAATGCAACTCTCGGCTGACATTGAGGACTCTGGTGATTTTGCGGCTCTCAGTACAAATTTTAAATGGTTTTATCTGAATCCCAGCGTTTTTGGTCAGTGGCGGCAAAGGTGTTGCTATTGGAAATACATCGTTTTTGATGCATTTTCGATAATTGATATTTCATAGCGATACATCGAAATAAAAGATATAAATCCATAAATATCCTCTATGTATATGTATCGAACAATAAATATCGATATTTTTTTCTACAAGTCTAAGCGGAAGTCGATTGCCGATGCCGACTTGTATCAGCTGTTTATTTGATTGATACTGCATAAATATTTTGATTTTGAAAGAAATAAGATTTTAAACATGAATACGATAGTAAGTGAACTTAGTATGAATGACTTAAACAATAAATTTTTTGAGATAATGCAAAATGAGAGTAATGCGGAGGATGCGGCAAATTTTATTTACGAAAGTCTTTATGAGGATGTTACTTTAGGCTTTATCTTCGAGTTTCACCATGGTCTTAAAACAGGTCTAACAGATTTAATCGAAGGAGAAAAAGAGGATGATGACAATTTTAAAATAGTAAATTCTCCAGAATGTGACGTTTTCGGTCTTTCTGTACTGAAGAAGACGCAGGATTGCAATTGTGCTTGCCCAAACTGTGAGAGACCTGTTTCGGCCACAAGGTTTGCTCCGCATCTTGAAAAATGCATGGGTAAGTTGTCACAAGTATATTGTATATTTTCGATTTAAATATATTTACTTATTCAACACCCGTATGCTTTGAAAAATCTCATTGCCACAAGTAAACATATTGCTGGACAGTATTCATCGTAATAAAAAAATTAAAGAATGCTACCTTTATGTAATGTCTTGAACAAGAAAAGGGGTAAGGTTTGCAATTCGGTCGCCTGAATTAGGAGGTGTGGGGGGAGGGGGAGTTGTAGAGTCACCCCCTACTTCCCCTTCCTGCCGGACGTGCTTAGTTTTTTTTTATAAATTTTTAAAAATCTCATTTTGAGGTTATGTTTCGTAATTTTAATGAAAATTTTAACCTAATTTATGGGGAGAGAGAGTTGGGGGACGGAAGCCCCACGCCACTTAACTTGGTGCAGTTGAGGGAATCCCGGTCGACGGTGCCCCGTTTAGCGGGGCTCCTTCTTCTGAGTGGTTTACAAAAAAATAACCATGAAGGGGGTGACGGGGTCTATTAGCTCGCTTCGCTCGCTCACTCGACCCTATCATCCCCTTCTAACCTAACCTGTCTGAGTCGGGTTGCCCCACGTCCTAGGCTCGCTTCGCTCGCTATTGCACCCAATATAACACCAAAACATTAACTTTTATAACTACTTTAATTTATAGACATAATTTATGGCTGCCACCATTTGTAAGAAAGGATCTTTGCGATATTTAGCAGTATTCCGCCGCCACAAATATTCCACTATTCACCAAAATTATGAAACTCAGAAGCAACGGCATGACGAAAACTGTCAACAAAATGGCCAGCCTAGCGATTAATTTTACACATTTTTAAATCGATTCAAATCGAAATTGGATGAATCGATTCACAAAAAATCCAAATCTTAAAGATCGATTTCGCAAAAATGGATCTTTTTGATTTGTGTTAAAAGTTTATATTTACAATATCATAAGATACAATAAAGTACAGATAACATTGAATGATTGAATTAAAAACTGTCATTCTTTACGAGCCAAATCTTAATAAAATAGAAAAAGTTTCGATCTCGATTCTCTGGGGTGAAATATCGATTCACTAGATCGATTCAGTACTATATATCGATATGACATTGACAGATGAATAATAATAATAATAAAATAATTTATTTTTCTTCACAAAACTTAAATTAATGACATAGTTGACTGGGATCTCCATTTAAGCAAGTAATGCCTGTGTTTGGAAATCCCGCTCTTCCTTATCTAAACATACATTTTTTAATTTAAAAACCAAAAATGACAAAAACAAATTACTCGACTTTAACAACCAAAATTTACAAAAATTACAAAAGTGTGTATGTGTGTGCGTGCGTGCGTGCGTGCGTGCGTCCTTGCGGGCGTGTGTGCATGCTTGCGTGTGTGCGTGCGTGCGTGCGAGCGTGCGTCCGTGCGTGCGTGCGTGCGAGCTTGAGTGCGTGCGTGCGTGCATGCGTGCGTGCGTGCATGCGTGCGTGCGTGCATGCGTGCGTGCGTGCGTTTGTGTGTGTGTGTGTGTGTGTGTGTGTGTGTGAATAATTATTTTGTTATATTTTATTGTACATAAAAGTGAATTATGAAATGCGGTACAGCAGAAATTCGGTTTCTTCATAAGTTTTCGACTGCACCCACTTTAGTATCAGGTTTTTACACTCCCTGTATGTTTTGTCGTATATTTTCAATTCTCTATTTATTTTATTATAATATAGGAATGCAGAACATGAGCTAAATTGCCTAATAGCAAAAACTGTTTTGGTACCAGAAACCTTAACCACAACATCTTTTCGCCACTTTTTCAAGATGCATGGATCAAAGGGCAGGGATTTGTGTGCTTTGAGGATTGTCATAGTAACATATAATTGTCTAACTGAGAGTAGACCACTTATTCTATACAGTTGATGAAAAACGTCTTTTTTTTTTAAATACATGACCTTGATAAGTGTTCGTTGGGCTCTTTACAAGTTAAGAACCGACCGAGGTTATTCTTATATCTGGGTCAAATTAGAAAAATTCATATTCGTAAAAATGATATTTCGCCGGTCTTAATTATTACTAAAGAGGCTGATTTAAACAAAATAGCTTAATCTATTGTTTATTAATGTCTCTTTACATTACTTCTTTTAATTTTATTAAGTATTCTTATATCTGTATAATTAACTTTTACTTTTATGGAATTACGAAGCTGTTTTTAAAAAGTTACAAAATGCTTGTTACCCCTGCCTTACCTGCTTCGTTGACGCATCGCTATTTGTTAAAATTGCCTATCGGTTATCAGTTGCTTGCTTCTGTTGACGGTCGCTTAAGTATGCATCATATTTTGAACTCATTAGATGGTACAGTTTTATTTTTTCTACCCGTTTGTAAATATTATATGCTAACTTATTATAGTCTTAGTGAATTTTTAAATATTGGTATATTATTTACTAGTTTTATTAACGGGTTTTTGAAATATGACGTGAGATATATATTCCTTTATTGTAGTAAAATTATTTTGGTTATTGATAGGCTTAAAAATGGCTATGCTACATAATAATAGTGTATGTGTAGGGTGTGGCAGTGACAACCTGAGAATATATTATCAGAACGCAAGAGGCTTGCGCACTAAAACTGACATATTTTATCGTAATATTCTTTTATGTGATTATGAAATAATATTAATTACGGAGACATGGCTCCTGGACAGAATTAGTGATACGGAATTATTTGATAATCGTTACGTTGTATGGCGGCGTGATAGAAATTAGACAGTTACTGGTCAGAAATACGGTGGTGGCGTTTTAATTGCGACACGTAAAGATCTATAAGCTATCCCGCAGCCTTCCTTTCATTCGAGTGCTGAGGACCTATGGTTAACGTTATCTATTCACCATATTACCCGTAAAAAACGCAAGAACTTGCATATTTGTATCTTATTTTTTTTTTTTTTTATAGGAAAAGAATGACAAGCGAGCACACAGTCCACCTGATGGTAAGTGGTTGCTGTGGCCCATAGACATCTCCATCCATCCTCGTTTGCGAATCAAAATGAAGATGCGTTGTCAGCCTTGAGGACTAAGATAGAATGCCTCTTTTCCAGTAATAAGGGGTTTCCGGTTCTCAACACTCACCATACGAAACACAGCAGCATTAAGCTGCTATTTGACGCTGGTATTCTGTGAGAGCGTGGTCCTTCCCCGGTCGAGCCGACCCATTCGTGCTACAACTATACAATTAATATAGCTGCAGCATGGCTCTACCACGTAAGAAATATTGTCCACGTAAGATATATCTTATATTTGTGTAACGAAAATCGGGGTCTCAGTTTTACTGCTCAACTTCAAAATTATTTGCACTCGGTTAGCGAAGTTGTCATGAGTCACTCGGACGATAGCTTTATGTGTTATGTAGTTGTTTTTATTAGTTGGCGACTTTAATATTAGTGATATTATATGGGTGCCTGACATCGACGCCGCCGACGGTTAATTTTTAGGTACAAATATTCGTTCGGGAAATGAAATTTTTTTAATATATGAATTAAGCTCGCTAAATTTGAGACAATTTAATGGTATAAAAAATGCCCATGGCAGGATCCTTGACCTTGTTTTTTCTAGCGACGCTGTAACTGTTCGTGATTTAAGTGGCGATTCTCTTATACCTGTTGATCCTTATCATGGCGCTAGCTACCTTTTAATATCTTTTGATTACGTTGATTGTGATTCATTAAATAGCAATTCTCGCCTTAAGTTCTTTTATCATAAAGGTGACTATTATTCATTAAATGGTGAGATTGGCAATATCCAATGGGGTGAAGTTATGTCTCCGTTATCCTTAGATGAATCTGTTCAATATTTTTATAGCACACTCACGTCACTTAGAGATAAATATATCCCCTCAAAATTAATTGTTGCTGACACTGGGTAACTGTTCCAAGTGGGGTGCCACATGGCTCACTGCTGGGTCCGTTATTATTTGTTATTTTTATCAATGACATTACCTATTACCTGAAGAAAGCTCGCTTATTATGTTTTGCCGATGATATGAAGCTATTTATGAAAATAACATCAATCGAGGATGCTGAAGCTCTACAAGAAGATCTGTCAAATCTAGAGCGTTATTGCCACCTAAACTTCTTAGATTTGAACCCTTCGAAATGTAGCTTTAAGTCCTATAGTCGCAAATATAAACAGATTGTCTTTAACTATAAAATGAAAGGTGAATATCTTAAAAGGGATTCCATTGTTAGAGATCTCGGTGTTCTTCATGATTCCAAATTGATATTTGACATTCACTTAGGAAGCATTATAACCAAATCTACGAAAGCTCTTGGATTTTTGATGCTTAGCTCTAGGGACTTTACTAAAGCTAAAACTCTAAAGATCCTATATTGTTCTCTTGCAAGAAGTAATTTGGAGTACGCATCTCAAATCTGGAACCCCAGGTATGCAACATATATTACCCGACTTGAAAATATCCAAAGTAAGTTTATGCGATACCTCTCTTATAGAACCAATGACTATAGCTATACCTCTGATAATTATATTAGTTATTGTAAAAAACATCACCTTCTTCCTCTTGCTATGCGTCGTGAGATTGCTGACCTCACTTTTCTGTTAAAAATAGCTTGTAGTGCTATTGACTGTCCTGAGCTTTTATCTCAACTACATGTTAGCTGTCCTGCCAAACCTCTTAGACACAACAAAATTTTAAGTCTCCCGTTTGCATCTACAAATTATAGGCAAAATACGTTTATATGGCGAGCAAGCAATAATTTCAATAAGCTAGCCAATGAGTTTGACTTCGATTTGTTTAACACTAGTGCTGCGTCAGCTAGGCGCATACTTAATAATGCATTTTTTGGTAGCTCTAAGTAAGATTTACTTTTATATTTGTGTTTATTTTTCTGTTAAAAATAGCTTGTAGTGTTATTGACTGTCCTAAGTATGAGTTGATTACCTTTTATATGTATAATACAAGTTTAGCCCTCATTTGGCATAAATATGTTGTATTGGTTAATTTCGAGTGTTA